CTTTGAAGACAAGAGGCGTCGCGTAGTCTCCGTCGTGGCAGCGGATCGAAAGTCATTGAAGCGCGAGACACGAACGAAAGACGATGGGGGGAAGCGAGAGGAGCCGCGCGTGCGGCCGAGTGCGAGTAATTCCCGTTCTCCGTAGCCGACGAACGCGCGCGCTTGTCAATTTCGATATATAACGTCCCACCCATTGTCCCATCTCTCTCGTTATCAATCATCGGCCGACACACGAGAGCCGGTACGGGTTGTCATTAGCCGTCTTGCAAGTAGTCTCAGGGAAACGGACGAGTCGAAATCTAATAATAAACGTATCTCCTTCCGTCCGCTCCGTTTCCGTCGCTTCAGGGAGTTCCGGAGCAAGGAGCTTCGAGAGAAGGAAGAGGGCAAAAATGAGCGCCGCCGCCGCCGCCGCCGCCGCTCGCGCTTGGCGGCCGCGAGCAAAAAAAAAGGGGGAGAACTTCGGGTACACTTTCGCCGACCTCGCGCGCGAGCCGGCCGAGCTCTTCGGCTCTCTCTCGCGACAAAGGCCGCTTGATTCAAGGTCCCACGGATGTGCACGCGCACACGCACCCAGGCTCTTCGTGCGGGCGCGACGCGACGCGGCCCGTTCGTCCACGGCGTGGACGCATCCGCGCCCGCGCTGCATCGAGGACTCTCGCTCGGGATGAAATTTCTTCCACGATATCTTTTGCTTATCATTGACGATTAAGTCTCAAATGCGTTGTGTGTGTGTGTGTATGTGTGTGTGTGTGTGGGTGTGTGAATCGCATTGCTGAAATTTTCCAACAATTGTTTTCGAACGAGCACGAAACTTGGCAAGATTCGCCAGAATTTTTCTAATTCACTCTTGTCTCTCTGATCACCGATAAGTTAGTTTATTCAAGAGCGATATTATTTTCTATAACAGCAGCATTCTGATTTTCTTCAGTTCGCGTTTGCAACAGAGAGATTGTGAGATAGCTTACGATTGTCTGAATTCTCCGAAAAGTACAAATCGAATATGTACATTGGAGATCCTTTTCTCGTGCGTCAATCCGCTTTCTCGCGATGGCATCGCGCTAATTTCGGCATTACGCTGTGACAAAAATGGCGCACGAATCGTTTTATCTCCTTTTCTTCCCCATACACGACAAACGGTACGATGCGTGCTTGTATCCTCAAAAATTAGTCCGAAGTTAATGGCAGAAATTTCACGAAACTTTTTTTGCAGTTTGCGCGCGATTATTTCAGTATCTTTCAAGATTTGATACACACTTTCTTTGTCTCGTATTCTTCGTATGTACAAGCTTTTGTAGCTTTTTCTGTGTATTTGATTGATCTGAAGAGTTTGTAAGTTAAAATTATCCAGCGCAAATTTGGGAATGTCTTTTCAGTGGCGTGTTAGAGTGCCGATTCTCTGCATCGATTTGAAGGAATGTCGTAGCGAATTATTTGACGTTGTAAATCGTCGAGCGGGGACGATTTTTCTCGGCGACGTTTGCGTTAGCGACGCACAGCTAATATTAATTCCAAGCGTGTGGAATCTCCGGGTCTCTATGGCAGCTGGTTTATATGCGCTTCTCGGAATTTACGTTCTGCGCTTCACCGTGGACGAAAGAATCCGCAAACGACTCGTTCTCTGGCACGACTATACGGAGTGTCCCAAAAAAGGTGTCCCTCAATGCTTACGCATTCTGTTCTCGAAGGAATTTCATATCTCCTTCCTTAAAAATCTCACTTAAAAAGCGTTTTCTATAATATATAGGCTAGTTATACTTATTCTACAAACTTTATCTTTATATTAGAGAGAGAGAGAGAGAGAGAGAGAGAGAGAGAGAGAGAGAGAATTAAGAGTTAAAAGTTTTTCTTTTTCGATAAAAAGTTTATTCTAAAGTAAAAAAAATAATATCGTTCATTCTTATGCCTCGTATCATTTAAATTAGAGTATGAATCGGCAAAATCGTAATTACTCGAGTAATTACAAAATTATCATTAATGACGTTATGAATCAATATTCATTATAAGAAAATTGAAGAATCGTTCAGTGGTAAAAATCCACAACGATCATGTACATTCTTTTAAATCACCCTATACACGCGGCGGGCGACGGTAAGATTGAATTTTTGTGCATGCACCTACAGTCGATTCGACAAAAGTGCAACCGGAGATGGGGAACTAACGGGTGTCAAATTATTTTTACGCGTATAATAAGAAACAAAGAATTAAATTTGATCGCTCGTATCGTTTTCGGTTTGCCACAATCGACTCTTCTTTACTGCAAACAGAATTAAATATTGTATATTCAGTCATTGGTTATAAATATTAGATATCCGAAACGATCGAGTCGTCACGTTATCTTTCAGTGAAAAAAGAAAAAAAAAAGTAAAACCAAAATATTTTTATCTCATTTCTATAATTACTTTCTTTTCTTAATTTGGTTTACGGAAAAGACGGATGTCTTAAATTGATCTTTATTCCATATAATTCTTGTTTGTATAAAGCTATCGTTTTGAACAAAGAATGATACGCTACTATCCAGAATTTATGCGCGCACTATCGATATGTCGAGATTCACGACCTTTAAAGACTAAAGTTCGCGATATTTAATGTCGACTAAGAGTTTATGGACATTAACAAAGTGCAATCGCTATCCTCAAAAGGGTCTCTTTCTACGAAATCTATTCAACCAGTTTAATCATTAGAATCCGTATAAATAGTACACCTCATTAATTATACAGATAACAATTATACAGGTCCATAATTAAAGTATAATTTACGTTAACATACGTATATTACTTTCAACGACGAATTAACGGAAGCTGAATTTTAAATTGTGAACAATTAAATAATAGACACGGCCCGTTTCCACCAACGTAGATTAACTTTAATCTCGGTTCGACTCTTTATCTTTTACCAATTTTCAGAACTGAAAAAAGACGAAGAGTAAATTGGACCGAGATTAAAGTTAATCTACATTGGTGGAAATGGGCATTAGACTGTCGCAATATGTATCAAAGTTCGAATTCGAAATAAAATCTTAAACCTTCATGTTAGTAAACGTGCATGTGTTATACATATGTGTATGTGGGTGTGTATATGTGTGTGTGGATGTGGGTGTGTGCGCGCGCGCGCGCGCGCGCACGTGGGAAGTAAACGGTATCACTCGCGTGCAGCGCGAAATAGTGGAAGCATCTCCGCAAGGTCGAGCCGCGAGCGAAAGTGCCTGGCTAAACGACAGTGCAAGTTTCCAGCGATAGCGAAAGCACCGAGCGGTCACAGCTGTAAAGCCATTAGAGTTTGAGGGCGGAAAACGGGACGACGCGGCGGGATGGAGATGGAAAAGCAACACCGCTACATAGCGGGAGCTATCACCGCGTCTATATATCGACTAGTGCTTTGCGAAAACCAGGCGTTACAGCCACATGTTACCTGGTTACATTACATAAAGTACCAAAGGGTGCTGTTACATAAAGGGTAGCGGGACAAAAATGAACCTATTTTCAATGGACCTCACATCCGCGGTATCGAAACCAGCTCTGATCATAATAATGATCTAATGTATAATTTTATCCGAACGTCCCTCTCACTTTCGTTCGTATTTAAGAAACAAGAAAAAAATCATACGTCCGAGATTAAATTTTATACGAATATCACGGCCCCGTGAACGTTTTCGCCACCCTGTGGCGGAGTTTGTGGCAGTGTACGCGCGTAGTCGTGTGCGTGTGTGAGAAAGTGAGAGAGAGCAAGTGGAAGAAAGAAGAGCGGGAGGAGAGACGGATGTATAGGAGAAAGTGAAGCAACGAGAGAACGGAGAGAATAAGCATCGATCGATATTTCGCGGAGGGCCAGCAACCCGATTTTAACGACAGCGACGAAACTCTCACGGCTACGAACAAGTCTTTGGACTTAACGATATAAAGACCGCGTGCGTGCGTTTCAATAATTTAAATATTAATTTTTGAAAGATATATATTTCAATCAACGCGCAAGGGGGGAGGGAGGGGAGGGGGAGAGGGGGGGTCGAACAATTTAACTTCATTTATTTTCTAATTTTTTATAAACAATTTTTAAAATTGTCGATTTTACCGAGGAAGCATTTATCAGCAACGGTGACGCGCGTTCCGCCTCCCGTCTTCCGCCGTCTTCGATCATCGGGTTGCTCCGCTCGGAATGATGCGACGAGTTCAAAGCCATCGTCCGGACTTCTAAGCAGCGTGAATGAAACGGCTAGGCGCAACGTACGCAAGTGTCAAAGCGAGCGTACGAGTTGGTGTGCGAAACCAACGCCGAACGTAATAGTAGCCTTGGCTTAGCGATGGTCACGTTATAAGCAAGCGTCTGTGACATATTCTCGTATAGTCCCGCGCGTCACGTGCGCGCGCTGCCGCTCGCGTGATGTATAACGTATTCGCTGATCCGCGTTAGCAGCACTATTCTTTTTTCCTTCTCTTCTTTTTTTTTCGTTGATTTTTCTCTCCCTCGACACGACGTTGCAAGTCACGCTTTATGAATCGGCTCAACGTCAATCGAGCATTTCGTTTTATCGCATCGGAAAAAAGTGTTTTTCACGTTTTTGCTGCGAAACGACACGAATATCTGATAGACGGATCCTTTTGTTTTCTCTGTTTCAGATCGTACAAATCAACCGCCTTCTAACAAGCCACATTAACCTCAAGTGATTTCTATTTTCTTACGAAACGCGAAAGAAATATGTAATTAGTATGTTTATATCGATTTAAAGAAGGAACACACAAAAAAAAAAAAAAGAAAAGAAAATATCCAAGAGCTTAGGTTCAGAAGACAAAAGATTAAGAGCTATATTAGCTGTAAGTGTACAAAGTATATCTAATTAAAGGAAGAAGACAAAATACAGATTAAAACAAATAAATAAACAAGTCCGCCAGTGCCAAATTGAGAAAGAAAACAAAGTGAAAGTGATCGTTGTAACAGGAAGAGGAAGAAAGAAGAGAGAGAGAGAGAGAGAGAGAATAGAATAGAATATAGTAAGATTTATTTTATCTGGAATATAAAAGAAATAATCTTTTAGGCACATACATTCTATAAATTTCATAAGAATAAATACAATCAAGTGCAAACATACAGCAGTAAATTAAACCAGAAGGAAGAAAGAAAGAGCGACAGAGTAACACATTGCGAGAGCAGGACCGTAAACCAAAGAATCTACCATTTTTTTTCTATTAATCATTCATCGAATAACAATAATCTCTCGTCAAGTGAAATAATAGTGAGACACACACACATACACACACAATAACACACCGATTCCTTCGTCAGAGCCAGATTAATTAAGCGAGCCGGCATACAGTTTTGTAGAGGTTTATAGAAATAGCCGTAAAATATAAGTGCATTTTTTAAACTGGACGTGTCACGTGACAGATTTTCGCCAAGCGAAAGGAAGAAGAAGCAGACAAAGGGAGGAATCAACCTCAATCAAAGGATTCGATTAAACACTCCCAGAGTAACCGATCTACTTCAGTTCGTAGCCTAAACCTGTTGAGTACAAAACGACACAGAGTTAAAGATATAGATAGACAGAGAAACGGAGAGAAAGAGAGAAGAGGAGACGAGAGAACAAGCGTAATATTGAAGAATAGATCATTACCTGGAAAAAATTTACGTGCGACCGAAAACACACGGGTCACTTTTCCAGAGACAAGTGTAACTATTCCGGAATGTATCTTTGAGATAAGGATTCGCGGATGAGGAACGTCGCGAATGCCGATCATAGACGACCCTCCTCCGTCGTCGTCATCGAAGAAATCGGACCTCTAGGATCCGATTCAAGAAATTAATGGGAATCAGAGTGAGGCGATCAGAGTCGATCGAGAAAGGCGCCAATGTCGCGTGCAAGAATTTCATTGACTATCCGTTCGAAAAAAACTAGATAATCCCAAGCCTTCTGCAAGCGTATTGATAAAGGACAAGCATCCGAGCAGCGAGAGGGATTGACGGGAGGTCGCTGCAGGAAGAGGAGATCACCCAGCCAAGTGGGCACGCGAAACTCGCCAACCGGGTGGTGGAGGCGTCAAAGTCGTGATGACGTGGCGAGGAAGATGAGCGCCGAGGTGACGAAGGAGGTCGTCGCCACCGAGAGGGTCCCGACGAGCCCTCCGGCGGCGGTCGCGACCTCACCGGGCACGGTCGGCACCGGCGACCTGACGGCGCGGCATCTGCCGCCCTTCAGCAGCTTCGCCGGCGATAACACGATGGACATCTCGACGCTGCCACCGCTCCACGCCCAAGACATTGGGCCAAATCTGATAGGTTGGGGGGACTACTACGCTGAAGGCCTGACCGGCCGACTGATCGACGTGGTCCCGGCGAGCCAGTACAGACCGTGGGAGTCCAAAGGTGGCGGCCCGGATGGACTGCCCAGCTTCGCGAGCCAGTTCACCGCCCCGAGCGAATCCGAGCCTCAACTGACGGCGCTAACGCCGTTGTCGCCAGCGTCTATTTCGCACTCGCCGCCGGTCACGTCGGCCGTGGGCCTGCCGAGTTTCCACACGCTCGGAGCACCGCTTCCGACGCCGCATCCGCATCGCGGATCGGTCGGTTATCCTCTGGTACCGGCGCCGGTAGCAGCCCGGGACGTCTCGACTATACAGCAGCAGATGCTCGACGAACGTCACATACAGCTCTTGGGCACCAGCCAGGTCCAAGCGTTTCCGCCACCTCCGCCGGGTCATCCGCATCATACGGTGCTGACGGTAGTTAAGCCCGAATACGCGCAATTGCACCACGCGAATTTCCAAAATCCGATATCAACCGTGTTGGACTCCTCGCCGACCTCACGGCCGATTGGCATCGACGGGCGTAAAAAGGAGCGCAGAAAAATCCGCGCTGGTTCCATGGAATCGGAGGACGGCGGGGGTGGGGGCGGCGGCGGCGGTGGTGCTGGTACCGGCAACGTAGAGAGTTCCGGTCAGGTAGCCGCCGTCTCGTCCACCGCGAATCGCGGCGTGCACCATCTCGGTGGAGGTATAACCGACGGCGACGGTGACGGTGGCCTTGGCGACAAGCCGGCGAAGAAAAAACGGAAGAGATGCGGCGAGTGCATAGGCTGCCAGCGCAAGGACAATTGCGGGGATTGTGCGCCGTGCAGAAACGATAAGAGCCATCAGATCTGTAAGATGAGGAGATGCGAGAAGCTCACGGAGAAGAAGGTAAGTGAACAACATCGATTCGAACCAATTCGTATTGTATTGATACCGTGATGACATTTATTTAAATCTTTTTCGCACACTTTATATTTGCGTAAGAGTAAAACGCGCATTTTCGTTGACAACAACGTTGCGTTTGCGTTTAATCTTTCGTCACACTGGTAACACGGAATTTTAACTGTTTTCTGTTGGTAACAGGAATCTTCGAAAAATTGAGCGATTTTTTATTCTTCCGGATTATATGAAAATTTGAACAAATACCTGTCGAAGCTTTCAACCAGTTTTCATTGAAGTTGAATTGTATTTTACTTATATTTTTTTATATAGATTTAAATTTATCTAGAATTTATAATCAAGATATCGTTGCCTTTAAAGATCCCATATTGCTGACTGAAGGTTAAAGGGTAAGAATATTCAATTCTGAAAAAATTCAATACGCAAGTATTAAAAAAATACAGAGTAGACACGCAAACCCGGTTCTTCGATGATTGGTTCTGCGAAATCTGCTACGATAGACACGAGCGATATACAGTCGTAAGAGGGTATAACCGCGCAGACGAAACGCCGTTAGAGAACGACACATATATATATATATATATATGTACAATATATATAGTTTGAACTTGGCCTCGATGCCTGAATGTGCCGTGAATCCCTGAGGGAAATACAGAAATACAGATAACCGAATGGTTTATTATTGTAGCGACACTGAATAGGGGGTTGGTGGCGAGCTGACTGGTTGACTGTTCAGCTGCTATCGTACAACTAGGGATGGCGTGAAACTACCTATAATTCTCTGCGTTTGATCAGAGCCGCGTTAGAATTGCTATATTGATAAGCGTATAATGTTAAGAGGAAAATCTAAATTAATATCTCGTATCTGCCCGCTTTAATGACGGTCTTTTTAAAATGCTAGAATAACTGCGATGAGTAAAAAATTAATTCTCCACAATTAATATGTAAATTCGACTACATGCTGAAAAAAACCCCGCAATCTGATTAGTGAGGAACGCGTAAGTTGCGTATACATATACATACGCACGTGCATATATTGTATATATTTTCCGCAACAAAATTATTCGCAGCTTGTAAGAGCTGCCTTGTGCCTTATTAACATTGAAATTATTAATATTCTTATAAGATGCGTATTAGCATGAAAATTATTAAATCGCTTGAATTTAATATGTAATAGTACTACTTTAGTTCTATTTATTATGTTTCAAGACTGAAAAGGATTTCAACGCGCGGTTTGTAGAATCAGATACGTATTCACATGGAAACATTTAAGCGCCAAAGGCGGTATTCATAGTCGATTCTTATATTCAAGACCTAACCTCTCTAAGTGCATTCTTAAGATATCACGAACCAATCAGAGGGCCGTATTAATATCTTAAGACATTTACTTATGACGATCTTAAAATAAGAACGGACTACGAATACCTATGATTCGTCTATGATCCGCCTTGAGAGAAAATAAAATTTCTCTGAGCTCTGCATATGTATATTGTACATCGTCGCCATGATTTGTACCACGAGCGCTTGACGCCTCGAGAAAATGAAGCGCGCAGCAACAACGACTCGTAAAGCGGCCTCGCTTATCGTAGGGCAAGTTCAAGGCTCACCGCGGGTCATAATAATCACGTATCGAACTTCGTTTCTCTCTCTCGTTCAGAAACAAGCGTATTGTTTGCCGCGGCGACACGCGCGCCGAACCGCACGTCTCGGCCCGACGACGCTGTCAGCCCGTCAATATAAATCCACCGATAACATTCCGCTGTTTATCAATTAGCATTTCGATTTATTTGATCGATGCACTTTACGGCTTCCTGATAGCGTGCTCCAATCTAAACAGCATTTAACCAGGACCAGGTATTTACGAGTTCTTCTTTATTTCCCGACCACAATAAAAGGCACCGATAAATGACACGGCGCTCTGAGCGTTTCCCGAGTATAACAGAACATTTTCCCCAAGTTTCCAAGTTAATTCCAGAAGCACCGGTCCTTCTCTTGTCCGGCCAGAGGTCAATTTCCCTACGACGACTATTTCTGGCAGTGCCGAAAGCCGCCCGTGGTTCGAAAGAAAGGAATGATAGATCGGTAGAAGAACCGAGGACTTCTGTATAGGCGTGCCGTCACAACAACCCTCCCCCCCCCTAGAACTTAACACCCTCTTTTACCCCAAGAGAAGGTATGCAACTATCCCTGCTCTGTCTTTCCTTTCGCTTCGCGAGAAAGAAATTCTTGCCCTCAGCCGGTTCATCGCACACCTGCTGTCGAGAGGCGGCGTATCCACCCTTCCCTCACTGCCGCTCTGATTTTTATCGCCTCCCTTCTTGTTTTGACCCGATTTCTCATAAACATGGATGGATCATTGACCCACCGCATCTTCGAGGTATCTCCGCACCGCTCTTACTCGCTTGTCCCGCAGAGCGGATAAGAAACATAATAAAAAGAACGTAATAAAATGTTTTTTTTTTTTTTTTCCATCCGCGCTTTATGGATCCGCGTTTTAGCATTTCATTAAATGTTACGTACTCTTAGATTTCATGGATCGTGGGTATACGATAAAGTAGTACAATTTCGAGCATGATACATTTCTGAACGAAATGAAATTTCAATTTCAATTTTCGGGGAGAGGGGAAGGGGGGGTGGTTCCAGTTCAGTAATCTTCTTATTGTGTATACCAAACGGGAAAAAGAAAATCAAGCTCGAACTTCGAAAAGTCGAACTTTCAAATTTTATCTCGTCCGAAATTGTACCACGTTCGAACTTGTAATCATCTTACTCTCTGTACCGTCGCATTGTTCCTTCCTCGTTGATTTAACTCGACAATTTTCCCGTAAAAAAAACAGACAGAGATCAACGCGCGCGCATACTCCACAGCTGCGAATTGTCTTTCGCGAAAGACGAAAATAAATGTGAACGGTAGCCATGGTGAAGTGGCGTCTCGGTTCCGGTTTCTCGATAAATCGAAACAACGGAAGCCCGTCAAAGCCAGCGAGAAGGCGGACGGGAGAACGAGCGGGTGACGAGGGAGGGGGAGGG